GAGAAAATCTTGTAAAATCTTTTTTTGTTTTTTTTAGAAATCCAAGGAAACTGTACCAGCCAGACCTGCCTTGTCCACGAGCTTGCTAAGTCCCCCAAAAAACTCATTTTGAGCTTGCTAAGTCCCTCAAAAAACTCATTTTGAGCTTGCTAAGTCCCTCAAAAAACTCATTTTACAAGACAGGATTTGCCTTTACAAAAGCAGGCGCTGACTCTTTCTCAAGTATCACACTCATTGCTTTCTGTTATTCTCTCTACCCTCTTGCCCAGATATCGACTTCATCGTTCTGTGCTTCCCTCGCATTTGGGGGGATCTCATTGGGAGCCCTTTTTGAGGATCAGCGCTCATTACTTCGAATTCTCAGCACCGAGATGACTTTAGACAGGAGGTTTTGCCGTTTGGCACAGAGCTGCAGTTCAGCCGTTAGTGCAGAGCGAAGGCCACCTGGGCTTGGGGAACGGGCAGATGGACCATCTTCCTGTGGCTTGCTCAAGCTCTCTGTCAGGCCACGGGACCCCAGGACAGTGCCGGCCCATCGAGGCTGCCCAGATCCTCGCCACAGAGTGACGCTACTGCGAATCCTGTTTCCTTCCACCGCAGCGCCCAGAGCAGAGCGGCCGTTTGGACTGACCGTGAAGGTTTTACGTCCTGCTGTTCCATAAAGGGCTAGGAAGACCGTAGCGCATCAAGAAATAACCAGGACTTAGAAGGTCAGCCACCCGACCTCTCTCTGTACAAAAACACAGAGATGCTGCAGCTGCAGGGCTGGCAGAGGAACCGCAGCGGGCCGGGCATCGCAAACCCTGCTCGCTCTTCATCAAAGCGAGAAGGAGCAACGGTAACAGCAGAGACAATCCAAACCACCGTGAACTCCAGTCCTCCGGCTATCCCGTAGCTCCTATTAGAAGCTGAGTTTTTCCCCTTCTGTTCCCGATTCCTACCGCCAGTATTTTTCGTTTTCTCACCGGCAACTCCTGTTTTCTTCCCCTTCGCAGCACTCACCCACGGGATGGCATCAGGATCTCCACTCTCAGATCCCCGCTGATGGGGGACTGACAGCAGCTGGTGGAGGAAGTGCCACAGCCCTTAACCAGGGGGGTCCTACTAAAGAAAATAAAGCGATATTGGAATTATCAAGATGGTATCTGGAGACAGACTTGGGAGGGAGATCAAGGACCTTGACAGAGGAGGGGTGGACTCGCACCCTCCTGCTCGTGGCAGCGAGCGCCACGGCTGGCAGCGCTCGGGGGCTGCGGCACCTCCCGTGACTCACCTGCCTCTGATCCGCACAGGCACGGTCCCGAACTCCGCCTGTTCCCAGGGGGACTAAAGAAGAAGGTAGCTCCAGGTCAGGCAAAACCGCAGGCCTCAAGCAGAGCACTTAATTTTCACTGTTGGCAAAGCACTTCCTGGGCTGTGGTTAATGAATAATTAGAGGGGTGGGGGAAGGCCAAGGCCAAGCTGGGAGAGGTGGATGGAGACGGAAGGGACTGACGGCTCTTCCTGCCTCCTATCCACTAAGCTCACGCCCTCGCTGGCTTCGCTCCTGCCTGCTTCGTAACCGAAAGGCACAGAAGGCAAAAGCGTCCGCAGCTCCTGCGCACCTGGCTGGCAGCTCCCCGCTCTCCTTGGCCTGGCTTCTTCCCCCCCGCCCCGTCGCCCTCCCCAAAGACCTCAACGCTTCCAAGGGCAACAGGGGTGCAGGGCAGGGGGCTGCAAGCTGCCGGCCCTGCCTTTGAATCAAGCTGGAGACACAAAACGTTGCGCCGCTCCGCTAGGTTTGTCTCTCTTCAGTCCCGGAAGGCGCGAGATACAGTTTGACATCGTTTCTGTTGTTCTAATCCAGGCTGCAGCCAAACGGGGCAAGCCCAGCCCCGCTGCACCTCTCCGCTGCCGTCTTCGTTAGGGCTGGCGCGTTCGATGGCGCGTTCGGCCGGAAAACAACACAGCCACAGGCACCGGGGGTAGGAGCGAGTTACCTGCACCCATCCTGCTGAGGATGGGGGTCTCAGCGGCATTTATGGCACTTGCTGAACAGCACCAGATTGCGTTTAGGGACACCTTACCTAGTACATTTCAAATAGCACGCTTGTGAGTGCTTGCTCTTAGACAGGGCTTAGCACATCTGAAACGTTAAAAAAAAAAAAATCACTTTGATATCAAGTCCTAAGGTTTCACGCCGAGGCTTGTATAAGCAATCGCCTCTTTGCAGAACTTGGTATGTGCCGGGCGCCTCAAAGCGCTAGCACGGGTTTCATCGAGAGCGAGGTAGGCACTGCTGTAACTGCCTCTGCACCGGGGAGAAGCACCTGTGCCTGAGGAGCACCACCGAGCTCACGTTCATCCATAAAGCAAGGGCATTTTCAAGACACTTTTTATTCACGAGCAGACACATAAGCATGCACAAAGCATCCCGTTCCTTTCCGGTCAGCGACTCCCTTGTTCAAGCGCTCCATTCCCGGGGTTGACAGGACCAGCGCCTTGGGAGGACAGCCCCGGCCAGGGCACCGCGGCCCAGTGGGCTCCACGATCTCAGGAGGCCGCAACTCCGCCGGTCCCAGCCCCGTGTGGTGGCAGCGTCATGGGCGGCAGGAACATGGCCTTGAGCTTGCCCGACATGCTGGCGATCTCCGGGTCCTGCGACTCGTAGGACTTGATCAGCCGGGCGAACTTCAGGACCCCTGCAAGGAAAGAGATGGGAAGGAGGCACCCGCCCCACCGCCGCCGCCGCCGCCCCCTCGGCGGCCCCGGAGCTCCCCGCCCGGCGGGGAACAACCCACCTTCGCCATCGCTGCTGAAGCCGTAGGCTTTGATCACGTCCTGCTGGATCTGGGTGGCCACGGGCAGGAGGAACTGCAGCATCTTGCCCATGTCGTTGCAGGCGTTATCCCGAGCCTCCTCCATGCGCTGGGCGTTCTCGGGGGCCCCGAAGGCCTTGATCACCTCCGCCAGCACCGCTACGGGAGAGGGACACACGGCTGCCGGCCCGCCCGAACCCCGGGGCCGCTCACCCACCCCCCTTCCGCCCTCACCCTTCGCCTGCTCCGCGCTCAGCGGCACCGCGGGGGCCTGCGCCGCCGCCGCCATGGAGCCCGGCAGCGGCG